AGATATAGAGTATATAGATGTAATGATTAATCTATATATGAGATTATTTATTAAATAAGAAATAAAACTTTTCAAAGCAGCTGCTATGAATACAGCAGAGCCGAATAAAAACTTCAACTGAAAAAATAAATCCCTGATAGGCTGATATTGAAGTTACTACGTATATTTCCTGCAATGTTCATATTGCTCCATTGGGTTGGAAACAATCTATCACTCAAGTTGATCTCTTCTGAACATAGTTGTTTATCAGAGTGTTGTTCTCTCATGCAGGCAGAGTGTTCATTAAAGTCATAAGTGTGGTGGAACAGGTTGGTCAAACGAGGCCAGGAGTTGGGCTGATTTAATGAGTCTGCTGGTGCTGGCGAACAGTGAGATGAGTTATAGAGAGTCTGAACCTGAGCTGATTCATTTAGTGCCCACCGTCACTCATTTTAATGGGGAATTAAATTAGACTGACAGACAATAGGCATCACAAGAGGATGAGAATTATGTATGCCCATCTTGTTTCTCTGGAAGCCAAATGACCAAGAAATACTGGATTCAGGTGAAACCCAATGTATTTTCTCTAAATGAGGACAATGTTTTTGGGGAAAAAAATGGGAATTTGGGCACATGAGACCAACATGGATCGGTCATTGGCTTTAAAAGCAACCCTATATTAGAAATGTATTTCAATTAATCATAAAATGGCCCTGATATGTCACTAGATATTAAGAAATCGTGTTAATTTCAAATACTTATATCCAGCGCATAACATTAACTTTTTTTTTTGCTCACTAGCCAATGTGGCTAGTGGTTTTCCAAAATTACTAGCCACACAGCACTTTTTCTAGCCACATTTTAAATGGGGCTTAAAACGTTTAAAATGTAATAATATTATCATCAGATCTAATAAGGTTGTAAAGCTACTTTTTTGAAAACATGTCTATAAAATAAACAAATACAATAGCTTCTTATTGTAATAAAAGTACTGCTTTTTTACAGCAGTAAATACTGTACAGAGTAGAACAGTTATCTGCATTAGAAACAATGAGCAAAGAATAAATTATTTTTATGAAAATAAACTTATTTTCACAAAATTATTTTTGTGAGATGCACCTGTGGTCTGGATTCTCCTTCTATTAAAAAAAGATCGCTATATCATCACATTAAGTTGATAATTAAGCGCAGACTAAAACAGGCCTTAGTTCGACGGCAAGTATAATCTCCGCATGTTGTTCAAGATGATTCACGACTGGACCAATGAGCAAACACTATGTGCAGGTAGTACTCATAGGAGTTGTGGTGTCGCAGTGTCAATTCCAATTCGTTTGTTGTCTTTTGACAAGACTACAATTTTTCAACACGCCAAAGTGGCTATAGTGGGAGTGACTGTATTACCTGCCACGGGTGAAAACCACCCGCATTAGGTGGGTTGGCGGGTGTTATTGTCAAGCCCTCCTTATATCACTGACAACAGTAGTCCGGTCAGGATACTGTCATTTAAAAAGTGAAGTTGCAGCCCTCAATTGATGTTGACATGTTGTGTTTTGGTCTGATACTCCACCTTCCATCTATCTACCAATCACGAAGTCAGTAGAGTTACCACAGTTGCAGCTACAAACGTGTCGGATAAAAAAAAGTTACGAATCCCCCCCGAGACGGCTGAGAACGGGGAAGAATTTGCTCGATATCTGGCAACCTCGAGTAGGAGGGGGGGGGGGGTAATTTGAAAGTGATTGCAGTACCAGGTTTGACCACAATCTTGCATATGGACTTTAGTTAATTGATTAAATTAACTTGATGTGATTACGCCTGTGAATTATGCTCACTTCCTGTTTGTAGAATTTAAATGGACGTTTTTTTGTTGTAGAAAATTTTGCATTCATGTTTTTTTTAATTGAGCTCAATCATGTTACATTAAACAGTAGTTGTCATTTTGCAAATAAAGTACATACTGTATTTTTGCTTTTTATATAAAATTTTGTATAAAAAAAGAAAAAAAGTGATGTAACCTTTGAAAATTATGAATGAGATTAAAAATCACACCAGTAATTACTTGCATTGTATACTACAGCAAAAGTAAGAGTAGTTTATTTCAATCCTCAGTTCCCATATTCATACTGAACATAGCCTCAGTCTTAAAGGCTCTGCATAGCAATTCTGAGCATTTAGCCTCCTTCTGGATTATTGCACCATTCTTTTTCGTATTTGGATGGATTAATCGGCTTTTGTCCGCTTAATATTATAATTTTGCCTAAACCATTTCACTAAGCCTCACACACATGGATCACACAAATGCACAAGCTTCAATCATTACGAAAGCTTGACAAAACACTTTAAAGTTGAGCAGAAGATAACGTGTCTCCCTACAACTAGACAAGGCTGTTGTTGAATTGCTCATGAAGAAACACTGGAAAAACACAAAGCGAGAAAAGGTGTTTTTACTTGACTAGGCATCCGTTCATAGAAAATGTTGTGAACATTGTTTGAGGTATTAACAATTCTTCTTGCTGCTGAGTGACTGCCGTTTCATGTTCGTCTACAAACAAAGATTCAAATCCAGCATCAGCAGAAGACGGGCTAGCCTGTGGCAAAGCCCACATCTCCACACAGGCTGGCAAGTTGAACACAGAGTGAGATGGATTCGGGAGGCAATTAGGGATGACATTCTGGGGAGACGCTCTGTTGGCATCAAAGTCTAAATCCCCAGAAGGAAGCGGTTACTTAGAGAAAGGTTAAGAATCAGCTCCAGCTTGCTCCTTCCTACCTTGCTTTCTGCTCTTCCCTGGTGCTGCTGCTGATGAAAACTAATCCAGACAAACCCTGAATTTTCACATCCAGGCCATAAGAAATCATCCAGCATTAAAACAAGGACAATTATACTACTCTATGATTAGGTGTACATTTAGTTATCAGATGATTTTACCTGTTTTATTTATGCTCCTCTGGATTTTCTTTCTTTTTCTTTTCTTTTCAGCTCTTTTATTTTAAGAACAAAGGTCAAATTTGTCCTTCAGCTGGTCTGAGTTGAGTATTGAGCTCATGGCTTTGAGTTGCATGTGATGGACAGATGAAGGGACCAACGGTTTTCTCTCAAAAAGACACATTTGATCGTGTCATGTTCACAAATGGAAGCAATGGCTAAAACGTCCTGTTGTGGACATGTCACGCCTATCATTCTAAACCGACCGTGTCCGAGTACACTGCTACGAAACAACATGACCCCTGCCAGAAAGTCAAGCAATCATAATCATGTACTCTACACCAAGCATTCACCACCGGCTGAGATGAATAACAAAACCTCTAGAGGACTTGAACTTAATAATTCAATCTAAATGAAAAAAAATTCATTTTCTAATTTAATTTTCTAAATTTCTAATTTGCAATGAAAAAAGTTTCTATTCTGGATCTATAATTTCTATCAAATTAAAAGAGCAGCTGATCTCGATCCTTTAAATGGAGGAATAATTGGCATGTAAACTTCTGAATCTTTCTGTACATCTGCAGTGTCGTGGAACACATATTTTTAGATATGTTAGAAAGTCAAATGCTGCAGTTACACACTGGGGTCTCACGCTGAGTTCTCAGTCAAAAGTGTCTCGCTGTTATGGGAGCGTTGACACTTAATGCCGCTTTTAGCGTGTGCTAAAGCTCTGTTAGGAGTTGATGTAATGCATTTTACCAATTTACTGTAAATATTTTCATTAGACTGGTATATTTAAAATGTGCTACTTGATTGAATTTAATTTATAAAAATAAAAACATGCAACATAGTCATTGTGGATTATTGGTATAAGTAGAGACATACGGACTATGAGGTCCATTTTAATAAGGCAGTGAGAAAAATGGAAGTGAAAAGACATGATTCACATGAGAAGAACAGCCACTTTCCTTTTTCGATTATAGTCTTTTGTAGATGTACTGCAACAGAAATGATTCAATGCACGTTTTTCAGATTAAATAAATTCAATCAAAGAGAATAATCTTTGAAGGTAAAAAAAAGAAAGATGATTATGTGCAAACTGGTCAACTTACTGAGAGTGTTATAGGCTGTTGTAAAGACTATATAATAAAGACTATATTTAGATTATTACAGAGACATGCTATTAAAAAAAGCTTAGCACGTAGAAAGTAATTTTCTTAATTCATGCAGGTGAAAGTGAAAAGAGAAGGATACTACATTTATTATTGAAAATATACTTGTATTTGGTTTATGAATTAATTATTCTTTTGAATCTTCTGAAAATTTTGAATACATTGGCTGATTCAGTTCACAAAATTAATTTGAAACATGAATTCCCAAACCATCTAATCTGGAATACCTTACATGCCGGTTTTTGGAGTATAAAAGAAAGTAATTCAGGTTTGAGTAAATTATTTTTTACATTTTTTTTTATTTATTTTTTTGCCAAACCACTGACATTTGAATTTCCCTCCACCTTTAAGTGATGCTAAATGAAAATAGAAATTGAGATCTAAAATGCAGAAATTCTGTTTGCATTTAAAGCCAAGACACATAATCTTGTTTTGTGCAGTTCTACAATCACCTGCAAGATTCTGAAATTAGATTCCTCTTAAAATTCACATTCACTTCAAGCTGAATCATTCTAGAAATAATACGATGAATATGAGGACTGAATGTTAATGGGTCTTACATGACTAAACCCTAGGTGAAGTGCATATTATTATTTTATTATTGTTTTTTTATGGTTACTGAGCAAGTAATAAAAGGAAACCTCTGATAGCAGAAATACTCGAATTCCCCATTATTATGTATGTGTGTTAAATCTCATCTAATAACAATAATTCATGCCAGCACAAAACCCATAACCAAATTCTGAATATAAGCACAGTCTATAATTGTCATATCATCCCATACTGTTAAGGGTCATCTACGGCTTGTGACCCGTCATACCACGCACTAATTAAAGCTGCATATGGAAATTGTATTCAGGTCCAATCACAGATCTGGAGTTCAGCGACAGCACAGTGTTAAAGAGAGACTATTATATACCTACCTTCTGTCTATGTTCCCTGATCCACCGGGGATTGCTGGAGATGGGATGTGAAGAACAGAGACCTGTGGGAGACAACAGAAATAAAACCCTTAACTGTTGATGTTCTATATCTTAATAATATTCCCTGCAGGTGTTCTTACATGCATAAAGTCTTTCCATTTATTCAAGTCTCCTTGAATTTAAACAAAGAGGAAATGGGTGGAAGTAAGTTGAATAGCTGTGACTGTGAGCCAAGCATGGCTAAAGAGGTGTGTGATTATTTGGCTCTGCAGGAGACAATTTATAATCAGAATAATTATTCAGCGAGAATTTCCTGGTACAAAAACCTAGCAGTTTCAAACTTCACAATCAGAAATCAACACAATAATGAATAACAAATGTGCAAATCAAAGTCATATAAACAGACAATCAAATAGGCAAGGACAATCACAAATCCAACCAGGTGAAAACATTGGCTGCCCCACAATATCTTAATTGATGTTGGTTTCCTCACTCCTTCGTCCTCCAGCCCGTGACCTGGAGATCGATCCCCATGAAGGACGTATCAATCTACAAAGTTAACTGCTGGGGAAAAAGGAAGCTTCCAGATATATATATATATATATATATATATATATATATAAAACAGAGACACAGCATGGTCTCATTGTTGTAACATTTACAGGTCCAAAATACCAGGACGGTATTGTATAGCTAAGAATTGTTTCATGCATTTCCATGTTCAAATCAATTCACTTTATGATGTTTTATTAACAAAGTTCGGAGGAGCACGTTCAGTTAACACGACACGAGTGGAGTGCACTCAGCATTCAATGATAAGAGGTGTCAGCCTAGTCTCATGGTTAATACATATAGCTATTAATACGTTATTTTCAAAGACAGAAAACATACTTTTTTGTATGTTACTTTGGATAGATGTTGAACTGTATAATATGGACGTATCTGCAACATTTAAACGTAACTGTATTATGAGTTTACAGCTTACATTACATCGCTATGTAAGCTTTATTCCCAAATCTAAGCATACCATTTTATACAAAAAGGAGAAAACGTAATGGACGACACTCATGACAGAGATGTGTAGGAAAATGGCAATTAACAGCATTAAAATATATTTTGAGCCACTTATCCTACCCCTAGACTAACGTTATACCCATAACCATTCCTTAAAACTAGACTAACATTATAAGTATGAAGAAATACATAACAGAGAGAAGTGTAATCACAATAATTTATTTATTGCAAAAATGTCAAAACCGGTACCAAAAGTCGTTCACGTCATGATGATGTGTTGCAGTTGCAGTCCTCTCTGGTAGTATTATAATAGTTTGGTATGAGGTACAGAGCAGAATTTAAATGAATAATCCTTGAAAATGTTAATCCGGCTTCGGTTCGCTTTGTGAAGGGGCGCGCGCGCTTCTCCATTTCAAATGTACTACTACACCGTCACCGACTTTCTGAAAGACGGCATCTGTGACGAGCCAGGGAAGAGCCAATGAGCGTTTGATATCACTGCCGTAAAACATGATATAATGCTTCTTGAGGGCTCAATTTTTGAATTCATCACCAGCGCGGGATTTATTACTGTTATTGAATTGTCTGTTCTTCTCCTTTTCTTTTGTTTGTTTATTTGTTTTATACTTTGCATCTGGGCTCATGAGATTAGACACATCAGCTCATTTACAATGCAAGTTAGCTGGACGACTCCGAAGAGGTGCTGCATTTTCTTCTGGAATATGATTTTTTTTTTTTTTTTTTTTTGTCATTGCATTGTTCCTTACAAAAGACAAAATTACATAAAAGCTTTTGCTGTTATTTTATGTTAAAAAGCACACTTCTCCATGTATAATCAACAGTAGCTATGTATTATGGCATATAAAAAAATGGCATGCAACATACTGCACGTTTAACCAACGTTTCATTTGGGATCACCAGCCGATTTCTCAAATACATAAAAATGACATAAAAATCTCACTAAAATGAGTTTGTCAGGAAAAAAAAAAATTTAACTGTTTTAGGGAGCTGGATGCACTTGTTTTTTCTATAAGTACTTGAATACTTGCTAGACGTCCCCCTCTCTGAGATAACGACAGCTTGTGTTTTCGTCACACTGGGCTTTTATTCGTATCGAATGCACAAGGGGCAGCGCATTGTCAGTAAATGAGTCATGACTCATTATAGCACTTTATTGTGGTTCCCATTTTCTGCATTTTTCACCTATCATACTGTCATCTTCCAAACAGCATATTTTGTAATTTGTTTGCTTACATGGAAGGGGCTCTGTATCCATTATAGCTCAGACACTGCAGGTTAATACTACTCTGAGATCTGTCAAAAGAAATCTGTCGCGTGTGATCATTGAAAACCCTGTCCCAATATGTTGTGCAATTTCATGTGACACAATTGTAGACTGTTTCTTAACAGGCATATCCATTCAGGCCCCTGAATAATTCCTCTGCTGTCCTGACCTCATTGTTAATTGATTTGAAAAAATGCCGCAAGGTTCACTTATAATACAAAGCATTATGAAATTGTTCACTTGCAGTTTGCGATGTGGCTGTTGTCCGATCTATGAAGCCATTAAAAAAAATAAATTCACTTGTTCCTGATGCTGGCATGCTTCTGAAGTCTTTTGGTCAGAAAGTGAACACGTATATGTATTTTTTTTTTACAACCTCAGTCACAATAATGGTTCGATTTGCTTTTGACGCACACATTACGCTCACATTCATTGTAGGCAGGTTTCAATGATTAAAGGGTTAGTTCACTCAAAAATGTAAATTATGCCATTAATGACTCATCCTTATGTCGTTCCAAGCCCGTAAGACCTCCGTTCATAAATGGAACACAGTTTAAGATATTTTAGATTTAGTCCAAGAGCTTTCTGTCCCTTCATTGAAAATTTACGTATGGTATATTGTCCTTATCCAGAAAGGCCATGTGACATGAGTGGGTTAGTCAGAATATTTTGAAGCATCGAAAATTCATTTTGGTCCAAAAATAACAAAAACTACGACTTTATTCCGCATTGTATTGTCTTCCGGTTCTGTTGTCAATCCGTGTTCAGTAACGCTGCTGACATACCACCAGCACCACTGGAATTAAAAACATTATTACAAGCTTACTGTTTTGAATCGAGCTAAGGCAATCAGATAGATTTGAACACTGCCTGGTTATACATTTTCTCAGATATGTATTTTGGATTATTTTTAACCCCAAAAAAGCTACGGACTGCTTTAAGAACCAAGGTAGACTGATTGATTTCATACTCTAGTGTAAATACTGGCAGTGCAAACGCTGAAGTGGAAGTTTAAATGTGAAGAGCTCACGGAAAACTGCTATGAAGTGACTTGTTTATATACAGTCTTGCTTATTAAGAATATTCATATCACAAGTGCCTGTCATTCTCTGGACCTGTTGTTTGTTCCTAGGAAATTAATTTCTATGGACTAGCTTTCATTTTCAGAGAGGCCATTTGTGAATGACATTGTTTTGTAACTGGTTGAGTGCTGTTGTCCTATTGTTCATATAAAAAGCAAGGAATGAAATGTAAATAGCAACATGTACAGAGCTTATTCAAAACGGAGCAGATATTTCTCAGTGTTTGAAATCCAAATCAGAGGAATCTTCTTGGCCTATATCAAAAGTTGTGTTGTTTTATCGGCTGAATATAATGGGACATGGTCATCATAGTCTGTAATAATTGGGGTCAAAGGTGTTTTTACATTAAAAAAAAAATAAATAAAAAAAAAAAAAAAGTTCAAAGATACAATTCAGTATTACTTAGGCTAGTTTACAAGTAATAACTGAGACATCTCAAGTCCAAATGATCGGTAGTTTTCAGGTAAGTTAAGGTTTGGTCCATAAATGATAAAAAAAAAAAAACACAACATTTGAGACATGGTTATTGGTATATTGCAATGCATGTGACATTTTATGTAAAATATCAAAGCTTATCCATAAAGCCACACTGATTAATTTGAAATACTTTCATTAGAAGAGAGCTTTTTTTAAGCTTGTTTAATTCAGGAAAAAGCCAAGAGATTTATCTCATGTCATGGCAACAGACAAACTGCCAAAATACATTTAAGATTATTTGTGCCATGCAGACATAATTAAGCAAACAAGCCTATATTCATCCAATTTTATCTATATAAATAACCAAGTTCTCATTATGAGCTCCTTACTAATTTGATTGAAAGTTTTGTTTCACTTCTTGGGGTGTTATTTTGAGAATGCCGACTGACATTTTAACAAAGGGATAAAGATGATGGATCTATTTAACTTACAGGAATCTTTAGCGCGTAAACACGCAGCCAACACTTTGTCAAGTGTTAAAATATAGAGATGAGCATGTTTTAACAGGAGATATGGTTTCAAACGCCACAATATATGACAGATTAGATTTGCACCTCATAATAAATCAACACTGAGTCTGAATGTGGATCATCTGGCATAACAGGGGCATAAGCTTGACAAATGAGATATGGGAACAATCACTTTAAAAAATTCCAGCTGCCCCCACAGGACCTGAGGCTGCATCGGCTTGTTTACTGAACTAAGGCAGTGTTAACTACTACTAAGGCAAACTACTTTTGTAGAATCAGATTCACTGTCATGACACTGTTATTGATTGGATTTGAATCAACATTGAACTGATTCAAAGCAAATAAAAAGATAGCTAAACTAATTTTTGATCAATGACACTTTGGTGTTTTTAGAGCTGCTTTAAAGTGGATTTGGATTCTTTTTGCATCATTGATTATTTTCCTGTTTATTGCTGTCCAGCTGCTTTGAAACAATTGGTATTGTATAAAGCTCGAAATAAAGTTGATTTGACTATAATAGTCTGCTGTCATCTCAACAAAACTTTAAACTAATTTTTCCCAGCTAAAATGAAAAAAAAAAACAAAAAAAAACTTTATGATTAATATTCATGGACTTGATGATTTGATGTCTCTAATTGATGTAGCTTGAAAATGGCCAAGGCCAAAGATAACAACTACAAGTATCACTTTGACACCCGCCCAATGAGATGAGACGTCCACTTTGGCATTAACATACAGTCTGGATATGAACAGAACACCTGGTGGTCCACCTGCCTCTCTGGTGTCAGTGAACACATGGAGAGATGGAGCATAGGCGTGTCATCTTACAATTACGCCAGTGATACAGTTTGCATTTACCTTTACAGCTACAGTACATGCTACAGTGGAGGGAAAGATTATTCAGTGAATAACGATGTAGAGACTCTGGAGGCTTCCAGGTGAACAGTTTTCAAACCTTTTTACCTCAAAGACTTTTTAACCTTTGTTCAACACGCGCGCACAGGACCACGCTGAAAACCACGTGACGCCCCCAGGAACACAAAGGGCCAAACGCGCACACACGCAACAAAGACCAGCTGCTTGAACGCAGCCATTCAGCAACACATGAGAGAACCATTTCACATGCAAGCATATTTGGGTTACCAAGCTTTCAGAGCAATAATACTGTTTTTCCTTGTTGTTGTCAGACAGGATAAACTGTCTCTGTGAATTTGACCAAATCAATCTCACTCTTATGTCCAATTTCAACCGTGTTTGTTGTCGTTTGTGTTATGTATATCTGTATAAACATGTATTCCTGTTGGGTTTTGATAGAGAACGAATGATCAAGCTTGCGGGACAAACAGATGGTTCGATCAGAAATCAATCCCTCAAATATCATTCTGACAACTGAGATCATTTTGACCTGTCTGTAAAACGTGATATATGTAATTAATTGCAATCAACTTGTGTTTAAATACCAAGATACATGCAGATGCAGGTAACATATCATCCCTTATCAGGAGATTTAATAACAAGGCTGATCTGACCCAAATCCTGAATTAATTATCAAATCAATTATCAATTATTATATGTAAATTCCCCGTGCCGGTCAGATCCACAGAGTCTTTACTATGACTGGATGGTAAATGGACTGCATTTATAATATACCGCTTTCATAGACCTAATGGCCACCAAAGCGCTTTACATTTTGCCCCACATTCACACACTCATTCATACACTGACTGTGGTGTCAGCCATACTAGGCGCCATCCAGCTCGTCGGGAGCAGCTGGGTCTTGCTCATGGACACCTCGACACTTGGTCAGGTGGAACCGGGGATTGAACCACCAACCTTTCGGTTTGTAGACAACCTACATGAACCACTGAGCCACTGCCGCCCCAATCCACACACACACACTTATCCTTTCAAGTTGCTCTTTGTTCCATGTTACAGATCTATTTGATGTTTTTTGTTCAACCAAAAAGACAGTTTTTCTTTGACCAGACCAAGTTGTTCATGCAGGTAGTGCTCTGTAACGACCATTACAAATCTTGTCACGTTCCCATACAAATGTTACTCTATTTCTTCATTCTCTGTTCATTTTTAGTGTTGGAGAAGCTGCTTTGTACAGTAGCTTCTCAAAATGAATAGTTACAGTCAACATAAAAACAATATTTTGTTAATTTTTATTTTTAATGGAAGAGTGCATTTATTATAAATTATTTATTCATGCACATCATTTTTTTTTATCAAGTGCCCTTGTAATTGAATCAAAATGACTGAATTCCCTTTTTCAGCAACTCTCATGAGATCACAACAATAAAAAAAACACAACAAGCCAATCAATTTCTGATGGGAAAAAATCAAGTTCTGCTCTACATGTTCTTGTTCCATAAGCCATTTCCCTGGGAAATGAGTCACAATGGGGAAGCAATGAACCGTCGCATCTTCCATTTCATGCCGACTTTAAGCTACAGTAAAGCATTACTTGAGTAAAGCTCAGAAAGCATTACTTGATTTATTATAACTAAAATAATTATAATTGAAAATAAATAAGTTTCAGAATTCCAGACATTCTAAAAGATTCAGGGATCCCACTCTTTTTAATCCAGACATTTTTGGTTTACTGGAAGAAAAAAGAAAAAACAACTAAAAAAACAACAACAAAAAAACCAGCTAAGATTTAGCATGCTTTTTTCATTGTTTTATCTTATTTTAAATTTTGTTTTGTCTTATAATAATTTAAGTGATATTGAGGCCCACTTGGAAGTTTGTAGAACACTGTAATTAAGTTAGTAGTGTCAATACTTTTAGGGTCTTTTACATTTATAAGGCAATGGTTTATTAAAAATGAAAAAGGTTTTCCTTTGCTTTATTTGCATACAGACGACACCATTGTCAAACAATCCCCAAAAAACAGAACCACGAAAACGGCCAAAACTGCTGTATTATGCTGCCATGCCAGTAGTAAGCAACGTCACTACGAGTTTGTACTATCTCGTACTATTTGTCTAAACTCCAGTGATGGGTAGGTTTAGGAGCAGGGTCAGGGGTAGGTCATTCGTATGAATTGTACGAATTAGCCACCTCGTAACATTCACATTTTTCTAGTTTACACAGAAACGAAAACTATATATTTTCCAAAAACTTGCACTTTTGAATCCGTTTTCAAAATTGCGTGTTTTCAGGCCCCCAAAACACGTTGTCAGGCCCCCAAAATTACGTTGTCGTGTAAACGAAGGCCAAACTACATAAGAAGTTTTCTGTTTTTCGTTGAAAACGGTCTTGTCTAAATGGCCCTTTATCAATTGGACTTCAGTGTGTCACAAACACGCCAGATACCTAAGCTTATCTCCCACAATCCCAGTCACCTATAGACAGTGTTGGGGAGTAGTTAACTACAAGTAGCGACGCTACTAACTACATTTTTCAGTAGCTTGGCTGTAGCTCAGTTGCTTTTTAAACAGTGTAGCTTTTCCATTAGCTAACTACTTTTTGCAGCAAGTAGCGGTGTAGCGCGAGCAAAAGCTACATTGCGTTTGTCGAGCCTGCGCGAATCAGCCCGATGCAAGGATATTCTTCATCTTGTTAGATTACAAACTCATTTTTTGCCATTACCGCCACCTGTTTTTTAATCACGCGTCTTGCGGCTAACGGTTCACTTACGTAAAGAAGTGGATTGACAGTGACACACCCATATTATGATTATGATGGAGCCAGAGGTGATGGCAGATTTGGATGATGGAGAAACAACTAAAGTTAATTACCCATGGCCTTATTTGTCCAAGTTCAATCGGTATTTTTCAGAAAATGTTCTAAATGCAATTTATGTTGAATGTATATTTTGTTCTTGCAATGTTGTAGGATATTTGTTGCAATTTTGCACTTTTGACAAACAGTCTGCGATATTTGAGTGTTGTGTGTAATAAAACAATACTCTATGAAATTATAATTGTATTGCATTGTTTTAAACACTAAATATTTTAATTAAAACATTCATGAGACACTTATTCAGTTATTTATAATATATAATTTATAGCATGTTATAATAATAATATGTAATATAATATTTATAATATGTTGTTCAAAAAGCAAAAGTAGTTTCAACGTAGCTAGCTACTTTTTGATAGTAACTTGTAGTGTAGCTAGCTACTTTTCCAAAAGGGTAACTTGACTGAAGTTTAACTACTTTAACGTACGAGTAGCTTGTAAAACTACAGTTTCAGAGTAGCTTCCCCAACACTGCCTAATATAGACCATTTTGCAAGATGTAAACAACACTGGTCCAGAAACACTTCCTGTTTCAGTTTGTAACTGTTTTCTTTATTTCACATGTAAAGAAAACATCTTAAAGATGTTTGTTTAACTTTTTGATTCAGTTTTAAATGTTCTGTTGGTTGTATTTTATCCCAGCTTTTATGTCGTGTTAAAAAACTGAAACAGGAAGTGCTTCTGGACCAGTGTTGTTTACATCTTGTGAAATGGTCTATATTCTCATTTCCTGTCACCAAGCAATCAAGGACCGTTTTAAAGCACACTATCCCACATTCAGTTGCATGGTCTCATTGCATATGTATTTAAGCAAAAAGACTTACCTGTGTTAGTTTACTTGTATTCTGGGTTTCCCATTGCCTTCTTTGGTTCATCATCATCCTCTTCAATCCTGCTACCTGGGGAAGACAAATAATTTTAAGCCAAGAGCTGTATTGAATTTCTTACATTGACTTATGGAGCCTTCACGTGCTATGAAAAAGATTTTATTTTCCTCTTGTGAACTGGTATGTACTAGTGTGTTGTGTTCAAGTGCTTTTGTTGTCGTAATGTGGTGAAAAGATGGACTCACAAATCCAGACCTATTATTTGGCTTAAACAATCTTATATTATTACTAGGAGTCTCCTATTAACTGCTAGCTAAGCATCTGCTCTGGGTAGGTAAAACCAAACCATAACGGTATTTTTAAAACTGACACTGAGTGTTAACGCATTATATTACAAGTGTTAATAACACAACATTGTATACATTGGCTACAAAAACTATCCACTAACAGTAGCAAAACATGTTGTGTACAATGCTTATGCCGCGTTCCAGGCAACCTGTAACTCGTGTTTTTCCAACCTTATACCCGTGAAAGTGCACTGGAACGGCAGTCAAACCCGTTCCCACCCGTGAACTCGTACTAGATACTCCCAGTACTCCCCGTAAGGTCCGCCATGCTGGTTTGTTTACATCTAGGTGGTTTGGCGTGAATAACCTGGAATGCTACAAAGTCGTAAGTCGTGGTTTGAAGTCGTGATTTACGTGCTCAAAACCCTTTCTGGAACGCAGCATTATTCATAGGTGCGTTCCATTCCACCGGAAGTGGACTGCGAAGTGGACTTCACAGGGTAATTCGCCATCTTTAGTGAGATTCCAATTCGAAGGGAACAAACATGTTCAGTTCGAATGGCACTGTAAACGGCATAGGGAATAAGGGAACATCGATACATCACTTCACAGGAAGTCAGTGAAGTCCACTTCAAATGATAAACTGTGTTCATGTAACGGAGGCCAGCGAGTAGGACCCGGGTGTGAGGGGTTACATTCAGAAAGTAGGGAGCAGTGAACACTGCGTAGGGACCCTGTCGAATGGAACGCACCTCATGACCCTTGTGTTGCTCTCCGCCATTTTGAAAAGGTCAAAGGTAATTTCATCGATCTCGGACGGCAACTAGCGCACATAGCGCATCAAAATATTCTACGAGCTGCCCAGTGGAAAATACGGGGGTGGTCATGTGCATTTTCCACGTGAAGGCTCCATTATTCCATTATTCTCCATTATGAAGAAATCTTGATTAAAACTCCGAGTTGATTCATCAGGGTCTATCTTCCTTTTTAAATAACACCAAGTATCTTCATGTTTTAGCTGTTTTCTAAACCACATGCCTAAAATGGGCTCTTGACTTTATCATCATGTCAGTGATGTAACACTGTATCACTGATGTTTCTACAGACATGATGACCATGCTGAGTCCAAAGCAGAAATGACATTGTGTCACAAGTGGATTCAGATGAGGTCGCCAGGGCTCCAGACTGCGACCAAATGATCGCATTTTGCGACCAAAATTTAAGTGTGCGACTGAATTTTATATCCAGTCAATGCGTGGTCGGGAAGGGGCGCGTCAATGAATCCGTGACAAGAATAGCGCGAGTACGCCCGTTTCACACATACTCCGTCCGTTTGCAGTGCGTATGCGGTCCGTATTTTTTTCCGTACCCATGTTAACAGGTTAGAGCTTTCACACTGCACGCGGATGCAGTCCGTCGATCCGTTCCAGTTGCGGTGCGTATACAGCAGTGCAGAGATCGTTTCCGTACCGAGTCTATTTCTGCTGTGCTGCAAACGCAGAAATAAAGTGACAGCGCACGGTTCGTGGTCAAAATGAACTCAGATTGACCTCGAAATGTAGTAGTTTCACCATAAATGCATTTAATTCAATAAAATGTAGTAATCTCTCCATAAAGGTATTTAATTGTTTCATATTTTTACTTTAAGACATCTTAATATACAAGTAATGCATGGAATTGTATGCATTCGTTGTTTAAATCGTGTTTAAACGAGCTAGCATGCGTCCATTCAATCTTGCTACATTTGTAAAAGATAATCGCAAAGCCATGGCAAAACTTTTATTTTTAAAAAAGTTACTGCATATGGTGAACATACTGTATTTTGATTACCAAAAACCAGGACACATGGCCCAGAAAACAAATGATAGCCTACTCGAAGTTTACTCAAAGATGCCTTATTAATTTCAATACAATTAAAATAGGCTATGCCCCCTCTGTGGATAGAAAATTGTTGTTAAGACACAAAATCAGATAGGCTTCTCAGAGGATACTCAACATGTTTTATTATGACAGGTTGGTTTAAAAAATTAAAGAATGAAATAATGAGTGAAACGGGCGTGTCAGTGGGAAGGAGACGGAGACAATCACAACCTGCTATGTGCGTCTGAGCAATGAGCGATCAATCGACTGCATGTGGAACGAAAATACACTGCTCAAATATGACCGTGGAGCAGCAGCAGCGACCGAACCATTGACAGTAAAAATAAGCCCCGAACTTGACAGTCGCGGGCCGAGCTGTTAGCTACTAGGATAGGCTATCCAGTGAAGAAATCCATTGAATTCACCTCAGGGTTAACAACATCATCACTACGAGATCCAGTGAGAAACATTCTGATTCGGCGCAGAGTTCTGTACACCATAGCCTAGATATCAGGGCTGACGGGGAAACCAGGAGAAACACTTAGAAGGCTTTTCAGTCCACAAATCAGCAACATTCATGTATTTAGGCTATGAAGTAACTAACCATATTATAATGTGACACAAAATAGTCATATGCTTACAAGTAGCCTACTACAGATCTTTTTCCAGCTCTTCAAAACAATAAGATCATATAAATGTTTTTATTTTTTTGTATTTTTTTAATGACCAACACATTTTTTGTTCATCCTTTAAAGATTGTACTAAAAAGAAAAATTTTAAGATGTCGGAAAACTCTTATTTAAACATGTGTTTAAAAATAATAATTTATTGGCTTTTCACATATGTTTTCACTACTTTTTAAAATTAATATTAAGACATTATGAATGATAATAACTAGTTAATTTCATCTACACCCTAAATTAAGCTTAGTGATTTATTGTCAGCCCCAGTGCTACCAGATTTTTTTTTTTGTAGAACTCTGTGAGTTTGAATACTTGCATTGCAAGAGAAGAAGGAACACACCTCTAAGCTTTCAGTCCTGCTGTGAGTAAGAAGCTGTTTCACGAATTGAAGTCCAGATTTGTTTTTTTTTTAGAGACTGTCTTCTCCTGTATGACTGCAGTGATGTGCTGTGACACTCACAGAGGCAGATGGTCACGCTTGAAAACACTTCATTCTCTTCTTGTGGAATCGTGTAACCTGCTGAGAGGCTCAAACTGGATATCAACCTATCAGGATGCAGTTTGGTTGTTTGTTGATGAACAGTGAGTAAAAAAAAACAAGGCCTATAGCCTACTATACTGAACAGTTTATTCCCACAAGCATATATTGCATTCTGAATTGATCGATGAGCCATAAAAGTCTCTGTTTCTACAAGACTTAATGCCAAATCCATCTGAGATCAAACTTCACCCCAATAGGCAATTCCACTACATAAAGGCCAATAGCACTAAATTAGGAATGTTCTGTAAAAAATAAATAAAGAAACATGTATAGGCTATATATATAGCCTATATATCTCTAGGTCAGGGCTACAGATCTTTACTGTACCAAACAGTGTGACTCCACTGATTCCATTTATTTGTTTGCTGATAAAAAAGGCACATCCATTTATCTCCTTGTTGTTTTGCTGTAGGCTGCTTGTACCTGCTGGGCCATTCTTTATTACGCTTTAGGGGCTTGCTTCGTGAAGGGACAGTAGTTTTATGGGTCGGATTCGGATGTTTAGTGCCAGGCTGTGATTACAACAAAAGTCCATTCTCATTTCACATCTGACCAACCCAGTGGGCCAAGCATCACTGTCCAGTATTTCAGCAAGATACTGACAAAGAAGGCAAGAAAAAGAAAGAGCAAGAATTTATTACCACTGTCCCTCTGTTCAGACATAATCATGGCCACCTGTTATGTAATTTGCCAAGCTATTAAAATGACAAGTTTTGGATGAGAACACTCTCTGACATGAGCCATTAAATTTTAGAAAAATAGGACAGTGTGCACACCTGTGGACTGGACAAGTATATTCCAAACCAATATTCATATTAGACCTTTAAAAGAACAGGATTTTTTTTTTAAGTGTCCCATTGTGTTCTTTTACAAAGTCTTGATTTTGTATTTGGGCTCTACTAGGATATGATTTTATGCTTGAATTTATGTTGAAAATGTTATTTAATTTTTTTTATTTTTACATTATTGCAGCACCTCTCGTGTGTAATGCTCAGGTCTGCTTTCCCAAAAGCATTGTACGCCTAAGTTGATCGAAGAACAATTGCCTCCAATGGTCTCTACAATCAACTTCTTACGATGCGGAAATTCATCTCTGTTTAGTACCAGTCTCTGAAGCCCATCCTTCCAAAACCGCAATGTGCTCTGATTGGCCAGCTGGATAGTGTTTTGAAAATGCCACACCCTTTACCATAACCAACAGTTCCAACACATAGTACCCAATAATAAATATTATTAAAAATAAAAATATTTACATATACACACAGTATACCATTTTTTATGTTTTAAGTATTTTTTTTTTAATTCATTATATAGGCTATTATATATTAAATGTACAGTATATGTCAATAGGCATGAGTGCAATGCTTAATATCAGACAAAAATAATAATGTAATATACCAATATATTATTATTATTATTATTATTATTACATGAGCTTCCCTTGAGATATAGGTCTTCTGAACAAAATTAGAGCTAGTATGGTCAGGTGTGGAAAAGAGGCAATGGAGTCAAACATGACAACAGTCTGAAGGAAATACAGCTTCCCGTTTTCTCTCATCCTTTTTCTGTGGTGGCACATTTATTTCGAGAGGAGAATTAGTCTGTCGATGAGAAGCCATTACAGCTAATAATGTGTGATTGCATCTTGCATTTAGTTGTCTTGTTGGACATTTATATTAAGCCAAATCTATCCAATGG